GAGGAGTCAGAATTTCGAAGAGGCAAGCTCTGGAAATTTTCCGGAACGGACGCGGCAAGCAATTCAGCATATATCGCGAAAGAGTTTTCGATGATGTTGCAAAGAAGTGGAGAAGTGGCTCTTGATCTATAGAGTCACAAAGGATTGCGGAAATGTCGCATACAAAGACTTCTTCGAAAAGGTTGCCGTTCCCGAGGTGAAGGAGAGGAACGAGATTTTTGGATTCTCCCGTGCATCTGCCGAGAAAACTGGAGATATCATCGAGTTCTGGCTTGGTGTCTTGGACGTGGCCAATATGGCCAAGGGAGTCGTGGATGTTTTCAATGCTAGCGTTGATCCAGCTGAGTATCTCAATGGACTGGAAAAGGCACTGGCTCAATTCACATCGACCTCCCGAACCTCGAGCACCATCAATGACAAGAGACGGGGATCCTTCGACTGCACACTGCAAACTGCAGAAGCCGAAAGGGTCATGAAGCTCATCCACGCAATCCCCGGATATGACTCGCTGGCCAATTTCTGCTGCCTCACGGACTGGGAGAAGGATCAGGTATTCTCTCATTATCGCAGGAAGAACAACATCACAGGGGGTGACGCCAGCATGGGCACTGATGCCGATGCCAAGCCAGGTGACGAGTCGTCGGCTCACCCTGGGGAGGAGGAAGCTGATGAGCCAGCGAACGACCCCACCGATGTGGTCAGGGACTCAGAGAATTCCGGGAAACAACAACTTTTGGATGCGTTGGGAAAACTCTTTACCGTCTCTGAGGATGTCAACGTGTGCTTGTATTGTGGTAGCACCCAACATGGCCATCTTGAATGTGAACATGAGAAGAGGGATGAAGTCAGAAAGGTGCTAAAGGCCGTCCGAGCGTCGCTCGAGGCTGATAGTCCAACATCTGATGACGTCGATATGGAGCCTCCTGAGCACAAGAAGGACGGTTCAGGTGCTACTGATGGGTCGGGGCAAACGGATGAACCTACAAAATCGAGGTTTAGTGAACACCAATGGTACGACAGCATCAGAACTATGTCTGAAGTTGGTGACCTCGATGAGTATGGTAGATTCTGCATAGAAGGACGTGATGTCACAAAGCTAGGACCACAGAACATTGTTGACCTCAACGAAGTGGTCAGAGACGCTATTGTCAGAGGAGGAGGTGACTCTTGGTCAGTGCCAGACTTCATGGCAAGCTACTCTGATAACAACATCAGGAAGCCCTTCTACAAGAGAGTCGAGGCGCCGCAAGATGGTTTCTTGAAAATCATCCCGACTACGGGGGCCCATTTCTTCAACTGCTCTTACTTTGGAGGTGTAGAATATGCGGCCAACTACCGCTTCCAGACTGGCAACCGGCTCAATACCTACGAGGACAAGGTGAGTTCATCACTAAACAGGATCCTGCGGCACAACGTAGGGAAGGTATCAGAACAACAGAGTCTGTCATGTGATGACGCCGGCTGGGTGCCCATCGAGGAGGTGCTCAAATGTGAGTCCATCTGGAGGCACGAGTACGCACGCTGGCCACATGTATTCCTTGCTCCAAAAGGAAGAGCAAATGATCAGAATGCATGGAATGTCGATGAGGCAAACTACCGCATGACATTGCTCTTCAAGATCATGTTCCACTGTGCCCGGTATGGACGTCGCGTTCGTGAACAAGTCTTGGCATTTGGTATCAACAAGGACATTGAGCGCACCAGCCTGACGTGCATTGACAACAAAGTCGATGCGGACACGAACATTCCTGATGAAGGTCTACTGCTCTACCCTGTGGCGGTCCGTGCTCCTACGGGGCACAAAGAAGGATCTTCAAGGGACGACGTCTCATTGCTGTCCTCATTACTTTCACATCCAATCGCGCCCAACACCATTTTGTCGTTACCGGTTTGTTTCCACATCACCAAGAAGACCAACCTTCGAAGCATTTGGAGGCAGGGATTAATTCCAGGAGGTCTTGGAGAAGGTCATCGGATGTTCACGTTCTTCAACCCGTATGTGCCATGGGATCACAGATCATGGACCATCACGAAGAGCGTTGATACGCGAAGAGGGGACTACATTTGCTTGTTCGTCCCGACCGAGACCTTGATGGTGGAATATGGCGGTCGACTGACTGACTCGGGACAGATCGTCTCACCAAAGATCATCCCGTTCTCGGCAATCAAAGGAGGATGGATTCAGGACCCAAAGGACCAAAACAATAAGACATGGCTCCGGTTGTTCGTCCCGTCGGGCGACGACCAGGTAGTCCGGTCTGGAACTATCAAATCAAGAACGGTAGCCACCAAGGAGTCCATCTTGAGGGTTGCAAGTCAGTGCATCGACGCCGAAGATCAACCGTTTGACGAAACCGCCATGGATGCCATGAACATCGTCAACCAATTCAAGAACAACCTCATCGAGCCTGGCGGACAAGAGCAATACCTGGCCCGCATCAAGCTGATTGACTACATAGTCGAACGCAAAAGGGTGCAAACATCAGGTTGCCGCCATTGTCCTCACTGTCTCAATGAGACGCCGACAAAACTAGCAGTGTGTCTAGTTTGCTGGACGGAACTTGAAAGTTGTGGAATCCGTCCCTATCGGCTACAAGCTCCTGAAGACGATGAAGATGAGGCCACGAAGAAAGAGATCGATGAAGAAGTTCGTCGACAAGAAGAATCGTTGTTCAAGGATACGGTCCATCAAGCACAAGAAAACGTATCCGAATCCAACGACTATGGCTTCAATCCTGACGAGGTCGACTACAACGAAGGCGATGATGAGGAAATGGATCAGGAGGAGGAAGCCCAACAGGAAGACGACGAAATCGTTGAAGAAGACGACGATGAAATGGAAGTCGAACCTGAAGATGAACCCTCTTCCAAACTTCCAGCATGGACCAAGAACCTCGAGAGCGGCAGCAAGGGTATGCCAGAAGACGGACTTATCAACAATGATGTCTCCGAGGCCGCGGCTCACTTGTATGACAATGCCGTCATGTCAAAGATCATCACAATGTTCAGGCTCTACTACAAACAGAGAGTCACTCTGACCCCAGAGGAGTACTATGAGATGATGACGGAAACCAAGCGAGTCCGGCTGGACCTGGACGACTTCTGTCCTTATACAGGAGAAGACCAGGATGGCAACCTCAAGCGCCCGACGGAGCTGGAGTTGGATGAACTCTTTCAGGAGAAAGGGAAGAGGAATTCATGGTCAGAAGGAGAGAAGTTATACTCAGGGCGACCAAGAAACATGATGATGCCTGTCATCAAGACTTTAGAGATCTATGAGAAGATGATGGAATTTCTGGTACGCGCCGGGTACACTCCTGAGTCATTAGGCTTTCTCATGCCAATGAACCGAATGCAGGCTGATGCCCAAGGGAAACAGGAGATGCGAGTAACCATCAGCAATTTCCTTCGACGACTGCTCAAAGGAACCTTTCCGGAGCACGAGTCATACACCTTCTTTCGCTCCGGGAGCCACGGCTTCCCCAACTGCATCGAACTCCCAGCTTTCTCGGTATATCTGAGCCTGAGGGAGAAAGAACAGAGAGTAGAACTGCTCTTTGCCGCCCAACAATGTGGCATTCCTTTACCTCAAAACTTTGTCAGCAAGATGGCTTATGCTATTCAGCTGGCCGAGGCCGAGGCGCAGAGGGGAAAGACCGAGATGAAAACGAAGATGGCTCCAACCCTTGGCGACGAAGTGGTGAGTGAAGTATTCAAAGCGGTTGGACATACTGCAGCTTCCAAGTTTGCTAAACCACCCGCACAACCTTCACAGACACCTGAAGGCACTGGTTCAGCATCATCCTCATCGGCTAGCGCACCAAAGGGCAAGGCTATGCCGAAATCCCATGAACCATCAAAGGCACCGCCTGCAAAGCCTTCATCGCCGAAAGCTGCTCCGAAACGTGCGGCAGGATGGGAGAGAACTCCAACAGCACCTCAATGGAAGAAAGTCCGCCGTGAGCAGTAAACCAATTGCTTCGATCCGTCAAAATGATCACTGGGCTACAAGATGTTTACCGTCTTTATGAACAGATGATCAGGAAAAGACCAACTGAGTGGACACTGAGCGAGGCATTAGACTAATTCGCTTAGGTTCAAGACTTTTGATATTCCCAATCTGCACGAGATTCTGCATTGTGCACGTGAATTCGTTAGTTAGCATTGTAAATCTTTGGTAGCGAGGCGATCCATTTCTCCCGACGGGTGAGTGGCATGCTTAGCCAACGTAGAAAAGTAGATGTTAGCTAGCAATAATTCGCGTTGTACAGCTTGAGGAAGCGCCGATGCATCGACAGCCAAAGAGTAGGCGAACCCTGAACCATTATTCCCGACGGGTATGTGGGGAAGGGGGAGCCAAATGGCATGTTTTATGTACATAGGCGTAATTCGAGTAGCAGAAGAATCTAATTCAAAGTTCCCACTCTCGTGCCTATGGTTCGAAGATGCCATAGGCATGGGGGGTGCGAAGGGGAACGAGATAACACAGTAGTCACACATGCTGAGCATGTGCACATTCTTGCATGGGACGCCACTTTGGCTCAAGACCCACTGCGAGGCCAAAATAACGCGCTCCGCTGCTGCATGGTTTGACAGCTCTGACTATCAGCACATAGGGAACTACAACCGAAGGATATCCAGAACAAGGATCAATTTGTTCACACATACATACACACACACATACACACACATACACACACATACACACATGCACACACACACAGACACACACATACACACATACACACATACACACATACACACACAGACACACACACACATACACACACATATATATATATACATATATATGTATATATATATATATGTATATATATATATGTATATATATATATATGTATATATATATATGTATATATATATGTATATATATATATATGTATATATATATATGTATATATATATATATATGTATATGTATATATACACACATACCAGCAGAGGGTGAAAATGCAGGTGCCGAAGTGACATCCCGACCAATGTCTCGGCCCCAATACGACCCATTGATGGATGAGATCTTTGCGATATCATCTGGGGAGGAGCTCTCCCGGGAACCACTAGTCTCACCAAAGTACGTGCCTCGGCGGGAAGATTTCGATGGTCGTGGGACGGTCGTGGAATGTTTTGGAATGTGATCAGAGCAGAGAGAAACTCAATGAGACGGACATAGGCCGACCGTGTTGTCCCATGTACTTGGTGGTGGATGCTGCCGTGAGCTTGAGAGTCGTTGAGAGTCGTTGTGAGTCTATTTTTCGTTTACGATTTGAGCTGGTCTATTTTCAGGTGATGCGAGCTGCAGAGATTCTTGCGGTGGACCTTCTAGAAGAGAGTTTCCTGGTGCCTGTGCTGAAGACGTTGCTTCCGTCCTTGAGCAACGCTTACCAAAGTGGATGTTTGGAAGAGGACCCGTGCACGGTCTGCGAATTTGGCTACGCTTTCCAGGCATGGTATGTTTACAGGGTATACAAATGATACAATTAACATCAATTAATTAATTATACAGTATAGTATATATATGTATATGAATATCAGAATATCAATTGAGAGAAATTACGCATTGCAATGGGCCCAGCATGGCCCAGCCCTCCTTTTTGTGAACACGGGCAGGAACTACCTTCGTCGCTGTCTCTTCTGGCCAAAGAGCGCCAAGCCCAACGGCAGGCACGCACAACCCCGAAAACCGGGAACATCCGTCGGATTCCGTCGGCTTTGGCCTTGTATAGAATTAGTTAGGAGAGCGTTGGTAACAAGAATTGTAACAAGAAGGACTTCTAAGAAGGATCAAGAAGGAAGGAGGCATCGAGAAATATCGAGAATCTGGGAACAACTCGCCATGCGCAGCATGCCCGGCCAGACAACCAGGCTCAGGCGGCTCAGGTGATTGAATACAGCCAACACGGACATGGTGATGTGTGAGCTTTTTGTGCATCCTTCCCTCCAATCCAGAGGTTGCGCCGGAACATCCAGAACGGGCATGTGAGGCCTGACGGGGATACAGCATTTTTTCTTTTTGAAAACGGAGCCCCTTGCACTGCAAGTTCCAGAAGGGTGGCTGAGCAAGCCACGAGGAAAATGATGGAATCATTTTGATGATGGTCTTTAGCTGGTCTTTAAGTCTTTGCGAGTCTCTGACGAAACAAGAACGACCGCAGTTGGCCTGGAGGAATGCGGTGGCGAACCCATTGACTATTGCCCTGCGTGTGAGGGCTCCTTCGCTGCAAGCAGGCTGACAGCCTCAAAAAAGCACCTAGCAGATCCTAGCAGCACATCGGGCACACATCGGCAAGTGTTTTCCGTTTGGTTCGCTATGTTCGACAACACTGTTGTATTCGTTTGTATGGTGTGCAGATTGACAGGCTTTGCTGATTTGTACGGTACATTATAGCATTGTGCATACGGCATACACGTGCACACATGTATGCAATTGTATGTGCCATGTGCACACACTGTAAGCCTGAAGCGCTACAAAATGTCTTCAACGGATTTAAAGTTTAAAATGTACAATTCTTCGGTCAAGCCAATTCTGACCGTCAATTTTGTATCGCAGCATCGCAGCAAGGAGTTTTTTGCCGTGGCTGCTTTCAGCGCTTGCATTGCAGAGGGCGCCGGGCTGAGCATCTTCGGCTTGATCTCTCCATGGCAGGCACGGCTGGGCAGTGATAGTTTGATAGGCTGCATATATTAAGCATATAATATAACCACCCGGTTCCCATTCGGAAGATTCCTGTTGAAGGACATGACCTGCTACGTTGCACGCTGGAATTTCTCTCAGTAGCTCCTGGTCCAGGTTTCAAAATGAAATCCAATGTCGAGACGATGCAGAACCAGGTTGTCAATGTGCAGTGGCATCCCTTCCATGATGATCATGGATTCTCGCCAGCATGGAGCCAACAGAAAGGTGTGACAAGGATGAAGTGGAAGATTTGGACGCCTCAGAAGCCTCAGAAGCCTCAAGTCAAGCCAAGTGAAGCCAAGTGAAGCCAAGGCATTCGATACTACTACAACTTTGAAACACATCGGTCTGTTCGACAGTTGTCTCGGAAGGAGCTGATGTGGCGTCCTCCTCCGCCCCTCCCGACTTAATCGTGTCGGCACAGTTCACTTTGTCCAATGTGACACTGTCCATCACTGTGCATCACTGTGCTCTGAACGATCCAGCTCCCAAAATCTCACAAACACAGCATTATTGTGCATTATGAGCATTCTCACTGTGCATGATTGTTCTACTTGCTCCAGGGTAGCCGTGACTTGAAAGTTCTGCCTGCAAACATTTGGGAAGGGCTTCGGCTGACTAACTTGTAAGATTGTAATGCATTCTTGTGACCCACCCAGGCTGCTGCGACTGCAGCTGATGTGCATCGAACGGTCCTGTGCCAAGCTGCTGTTTGTTCGTGGCCAGGGAACACCAGGGATATAGGCTGCTGGAGTATGCCGCAACACGCAGCAAGTGAAGCCGTCCACCATATTTCACCATTTGCAATTCACACAACGCTCAGAGCAGCGACCTTGGGCACCCTGGCCTGCAAGAACGACATGAATTGGTGAACAGCTAGAAATGTAAAAAAATGTAAAACATGTAAATATGGACGAGATATGTCGAAATGTCATGAAATGTCCAGATGTCTTGGCTCAGATGCCATGGCAGCAGCAAAGTTGTCCGCACCAAGTGCCCGCCGTGTCTATCCGCGGGTCTCTGCCAGCGAAAGGGCCAAGCTAAGAGCTGGACTGGCTGAGGACAGTGATACGGGAAATGTGAACACAGGGGCCCTTGTCAAGATCATTGCCAATTCCATCAAATTATATAAATCAAATTAGCATACCTGGGGCGCCCAAAGTACCAAAAAAAAGCGTCTCATATTATTAAACAAAACCTACTTTTTGAAGATGCAGGATGGGAAAAACCTGAAACCATGAAACATCGCAATTTTCATCATTTTAGTGATTTTTGGGTTCTTCACACCCCTTGGCCGCCCTTTCCATTACAGTGATCAAAGTAGACTGGAGTAGAGCGGTCTCACCACCCTGATCATGCCAAACAGCACTACGAAAGATTCTTGTTTTGAATGGTCTGGCACCGGGGTTAGTTGCTATCAAGATCTATCAAGCACATCACCACCAAGGAAAGCATATTTCATCAGAGAGTTTGGGAGGAATTCTGATGGAAGTTGTTCAATCCCACTGATCCGTGTTTTGCTAAGAATCTTCTCACAGTTTTACCTGCCGCCCCCGCTTCTGCCGAATTGTTAGTTGTAGTGGCATTCTTCAGAATTGATGGTTTCAACCTCAGTTTCCGGCTTCAAAGGTTATTGTCACCAGTTGGGTGGTATAAAAAAACGATCCTCAGAAACAGACTTGAGAGGTCTGAAATATCTGAAATATCTGAAATATCAAGCTTGGCCATGAAAAGACAGTGTCTCCAGGACGATTTCGAAGGCTTCTGCGTGAACACAGCGCCGAATTCCGAGGAGGTGCGTGAGAATGTCATCGAGAAACCGGCGACCGATGCCTTCAGACATGATGCCCAGTACATGGCAACCCACATCAGCATTGCGCCGCCAGAGTCCAAACTGGACCTCACGGTGCGCGACACACGTGCCCTTCCAACCCCGGCAAGTCTTGGTGCAGTGCATTCAGCCTTAGGACATCCGCTGCGAAGTGACCGAAATGGCTTTGCACCTGCGGGGCATCCGTCTGATGAGTTTTATGATGCAGCTGCAGCCCGCGCACCGCCACAACCGGTACCTGACACCACACAGAAACTAGAAAATGAGTTCCTTGAAACTATCGAGGCATCCTGGTACACTGGAGATGCAGAACCAGATCTTTGGAGGCAATATGCCAAGCGAGCGGAGGAACTGCTGATTACAATGCCATTGGATCGCATTCTCAGAGTTCTCAAAGCATTTGTCATGGCAAAGTACCGTGGACCAGATCTCCTGAATCGCATTGCGGCTGAACTTGCTAGGGAAACCAAGAATGCATCCTCAACAAGACTGTGCCAAGTCTTCCACTGGCTTGCCAAAGCTGGCATCCGCGATCAGACTTTGATGTCACTGATGGGTAACGAGGCGCTCTTCCGCCTGTCCGATGATTTTGTCCTGGACATGTATATCGAGGTGCCCCGGGTGGAAGACATTCACGTTGTGCACGCATACACATATTATTATATTTATTATGATATAAGATGAGCAGCTACATTGAGTTGAAATGGGTTGTTAATAGCTGTTATTATCGGAGAGAAGTAGGTATGTGCATATTGTATTTATGTATACATATCGAGCTGATAAATATACCAATAGTACCGCACAACGCGGTGGCGGAAGTTTCAAAGATAGGACAGTATAGGAAAGGTGAGTTATTGTGATGCATGGATGGCAGAGCGAATCCACTGATGGACCGAAAGGTGGTTGGAATTGAGTTTTTGGAGTGGTTACAATGGTTGCAGTGGTCACCTCACCCACAACTGCTGGATGTAGTGTGGTGTAGTGCAGCTGTAGTTGTAGTTGTAGTGGAGTTGTAGTTGTAGTGTAGTGTAATTAGTGTAGTGTAGTGTTGTGTAATGTAATGTAGTTGTAGTCGTAGTTGGAGTCGTAGTTGTAATTGTAGTCTAGTGTGGCGTAATGCAGTGTAATGTAATTAGTGTAGCGTAGAGTAAAGTAGTGTAGTTGTAGTTATAGTTGTCGCCGTAGTAGTGATAGCAGTTGTAGTTGTAGTTATAATTGTAGTGTAATTAGTGCGGTGTACTGTAACTAGCGTAGTGTAGTGTAATTCGTGTAGTGCAGTGTGATTGGTGTAGCGTAGTGTAGTGTAATTGGCGTACTGTAGCCTAATATAGTATTTGCATGTGTACATATGTAGTTGGTGGTAGTGCCGTTGTAGCTGTAGTCGTAGTTGTAGTTGCAATTGTAGTTGTAGTTGTCTATCCATCTATCTGCCTACCTATCTATATTGATCTATCTATCTATCTATCTATCTATCTGCAAGTTTGAAAACGAACCTATTCTGCGGGACTTCCTCAAATTTGACAACGCCAAAAACGAAGCAATTCTGCGAGACTCTCCAATTTTTGAACTTGGCAACGTGAAAAACGTGGCTATTCTGCGAGACATCCTCAATTTTTGAACTTGACAACGTGAAAAACGAAACTATTCTGCGAGACTTCCTCAATTTTTGAACTTGGCAACGTGAAAAACGAAGCTATTCTGCGAGACTTCCTCAATTTTTGAACTTGGCAACCTCAAAAACGAAGCTATTCTGCGAGACTTCGTCAATTTTTCAAATTGACAACATCAAAAACGAAGCTATTCTGCGAGACTTCCTTCAAAAATGGAAAGTTCAGTGCAAAGCTGACGGCCTCGTGCCAATGCGTTTTGCGATCTTTCCGCTCCATCTGTCTAAAGTGCTGCGCCTGCCACGAAAAAGTGAGGCCAGGTCATACGAAGTGCTGCACCTGTCACGCAAAATCATCTTCCCAAAGCTGAAGATCTGATGCTCCAAAATGCAACCCCTCTCAGGAAATCAGCGCCGGGACCTCCTAACATCTCTGATGCGCATATCTCTTGTATTGCGCCTGCCACGCGAAATGTAAGGTGCTTTGTACATTTTGACTTCGACATGTGCTTCGCGCCACAACGGCGTGCATGTTTTAGACATCTCAACTTCTAAAGGTGCTCCAAAGCTGCAGTGTTTTGTACATTTTGACTTCGGCATGTGCTTCGCGCCGCTACGGCATGCATTTTTTCGACATCTCAACTTCTAAAGGCGCTCCAAAGCTGAGGTGTTTTGTACATTTTGACTTGGAAATTTGCTTAGCGGCACGGGGGCGCACCTCTTCTTTTCCATTTGTTCATATGGTCCAAATTTGACTTTAAACTTCCTTCGGTCACTGATTGTTGTCGGAGAAGACGCAGCGGCAAACCTCCACATGTCTCGGGCTGCTGTATCACGAGCCCAGGTTTGCGAAAGTGATTGCCAGCAACCCTCACTTAGTTTCCTGGCAGGGGCTTCCTTCGCCCTTTGAAACCGAGGTGATGAATGCCCATGCACGGCTCGACCTTCGTAATCCTCGTTTGGTGGCTGCCATGTTGCGGGAGATGGCACCCTTCTTTCGTGAACTTAGCAAGGACCAGTGTAGCGCTGTGGCACCTTTGACAGTGATGACCGTTTTCTCGGATGATGCACGGGTGCAATACCTTTCTCGCTGCGCGGAGTTGAATATGGGTTTGCCTGTCCGAATGACACAACCTGCAGTTCTAAAGCAATTCCGTCTTCTAGAAGATTGCCTGCGACTAGACTATCATCCCACCAACCTTCCAGGGCAAGTCCAGTTATGGCTGCAAAATTTGAAAGCAGAAAGTGAGGCGGGGTGGCTGGCAATGAAAAAGGATGACGGCAAAAACTGGACGAATCGGTGGCCAACCCACTGAACCTTTGAAAATCTTTGAACATCAGTCAAGACTTAAGATCTTTTCGTTGGATAATGTTGGATATTTTGGATGCATAAAGGATGCATATGAGAAAATATGAGAAAATAGGAGAACATATGAAAAGATATGAGAAAATATGAGAAAATAGGAGAACATATGAAAAGATATGAGAAAATATGAGAAACTATGAGAAAATATGGAAGGTTTGCATTTTGGGGTGCTTAACAGCTGAAGCATTAATCGCTGCCTAGCTGCCGAGCCAGATCTTGCCAGCTAGCTCTGGCTTAGCTCCGGCTAGCTCCGGCTAGCTCCTAGCCCTGTCAAGGCCCTGGACAACGTGGAGTCTACGCCGCTCTCGCCTGTGGAAGATGATATTTGCCGAGTCCTCCAGGAAGAAATGAACGTTGCCGTGACCCCCTGCTTGCCTGACGGTGTTCTGACGCTCCATCTCGTCATGGGGAAGACTGTCTTGCAGGTGCGAGGTCCAGGTTGAAATAGGTTGAAATAGGTTGAAATAGGTTGAACAGCTTGAGCAAACGAACTTTGGACGCAAATCCAAAAGCGCCCTTTGAGACATATGACTCATATGACATAACGATGTTCCACTGCCGATGTTTACAGTACAATTCCATAACTGCATAGCTCTTTCTTCTCAACACACTAGGCTATACTGCGCCCAGACTCTAGACCTTTCCTATTGAAGGTCATGGATGAGTACCACGATTACTACGTCACGGCTGCAATGAACGAGGGCCACCAGAGACAGCGCTTGATCCGTGCAGAGACGAAGCTGCAGCAGAGGCTAATCTGGCGCCGTGGCTGGAGGCTGGACGCTGAACGCAATGTGAACCTTTGGCCTTCATGGCCTATACAGCCTATACAGCCTATACATGTGCATTTGGGGCAATTAGTGGGAAATTTGTTAATGCATAGGCTTTTCAGATGGTTGAGGCCCGTAGCAACTTTCGAACATCATTCTAAAGCAGTTCTACCACACTTTGATGCAAGGCTCCTGACGCTGGATGCAGAAGAGTGGAGGAAACTCACAGACGACATCTACAAAAAGGACCATTGCTGACTAATGGATGTATTATGATGTATCATGATGTATTGGACATTTTGGGGCGTCAGCTGTTTTTAGGGACATGTGAGATGGTAATCAAAGTGGCAGGACTTGCTTGAGGAGCTGCTGGTGCATGGACAAAGGAGCATTCGCCACTAGCTGCATCTAGCTGCTCTACGGCCATGTTCTGCCGGGGTGCTGTGTTTTCGAATCCACACCAGAGTCTCACAGCAATGGATCCAACGGACAAAGTCCAACTGGGGCTACCGGGTGTTGTGTCACATCTTCCAGGGGTGTGCCATGATCCTGCTTATGCGATCTCATGCAAAACTTTGATGACACTTCCCAGATTTTACAAGCCTGGAGTTTCAGTTAGTCGTAAATATGTTCAACTCCTGGTGACCCAATTCCGGAAGGCTGCATGATGCCTTTCCGACCCCAGGCCCCTGTGCCCAAACTTAGGTTTCTGACGCTCCGTAGTAAAGGATAGTGCGGATAGTGGTTTCCACCAGTGCCAGTACGCTGATACATGTGTTTTGCCATCACTCTGTTGGAGATGCTTTGAGAAGTGGAGCTGTCATGCAAGATTCAAAGTGTAAATCCTGTTGACGTTGCCGAAAACTGGGCAATCTCGCAGAAAAATTGGGCTGTGCCGATCAGAATTTGGGGGTTTGGATTGCCGGCGACATTCGAGCTCTAAGGGTAGTTGAAGAGCATGTCTGATCTTGCAAGCATGGCTACATACTGTGGTGGCCATGAAATGTTGGTGTTGGTCAGATTCTGTTATTGTCTTGGGTCCATCCAATACCAAAGGGAGCTCTCGGACTTCTGCTGCCAACAACTCACAACTCAGGTCTTGCGCTTGCCGAAGCCAGAGCCAGAAAGGAAAGACGGCGTCGCTGATGCAGTCTCTAGCTTTGGAACGTGTACTTTTGCCACATGAAAGGATATGATTCATATGATATTCTATGGTCATCTACGGCCTACCTCTTTTTACATCTACATTTGCATGTGTTGCATGCGCTCATGTTGGATTACTTGACTGCTGCTGGCTACCTCCAACTTTCGGCTCTGTTGAAGTCGAAGATGCGCCATGCATGCGCTATGCGACGTTGTTTTGTGAGAGTCAGCTCTTTTTGTGCGATGATCTGCGATGGGGAACGGCAGAGGTTTCTTTCGTTTATCCGGCCTGCAACGCTACCTATCCATACTGTGTGGAGCTGCCATGGGTCTCTTTGTGGCTGCTCAGCATCAAATTAGATGTCCTTGACTTTTTGTTGTTTTTCCCCGCTGATTGTTAAAGACAGCAAATAAATGAAAAACGGTGACAACAATGACAATAATGAACAATTATTACGAACATACTATTTGATGAAAAAGGCCAACCCCCCCACCTTGCCCCAAGCTCCACGCACGTCCACGCATTACGCAGCTGAGACTTGGCCACGGGAAAGTGGCGTTGCGAGGCCGGGAGAGACTCAGGAGAGATTAATGTGATCCCAGTTCGTTCGTCATATACACCCGTACATGTAGTCACACACACACAATGTTATACCATAGCATAGCAATATACAAAGAAGCCGTTCTTTGGCAGAAGCTTCATTTCTTGAGACACTTTGGGATGCAGATTCTGCAGATTGCATCAGACTGGTAGGGCAGAAAGCGGGATGTGTCAAGCAGCAGTGGGCTCAGCTGGTGCTCACAGCTGTGTCAATACGCATTGACAGTGCAGGTTGGCTGAGACAGAGGTGGCAGCTGCTGATATTGGGCTCAGTGCAGCGGACGCTCAATTGGCTTCGAGCAAAAGATTTTTTGCCACACTGCCACACCTTCATACACCTTCCTCATCTTTTCTTGTTTAACCCAAGATTCAGCAGTGTCGGAATCCCAGAAAATTATACGAAATTGTCATGACTTTCCATGCTGGTCATATGAGTTGCCAACATCTACCAGGCAAGGGTCTCACCGGTTGCGATTGATTTCTCGCACGCTCGAAGGATGTGAGAATCCTCTCAAATGATGTCGGCGATGCCAGAGACACAACACAGCCAAGCACAAAGACACCAACTTCAAGGATGGCCCGCAACACAGAAGCGGCCAGGTTGGTGAAAGCAGAAGCTGCAAGAATCAGCGCAGAAAATGCAGCTCGAAATGCTCCTTTTGTTTCTTGGCAAAATTGCAGTAGATACCTGGATGTACACGGAGGCTGGGCAAAGAACATTCTTGAGATCTTGTTGCTTCTTGTTATCCGGCAGACGGCGGCAGACTTCTCAAACTGAGGATGGTGTCAGCCAGAGCCGCACTAGGCACATGCACTGTGTGCAGAAGGGGCAAGCTCGCAAGGATGGAGCAATTGAGGGTGCCACCCAGGAGCCAACAGCTGACAGCAGCTGACTGCAGCTGAAGCACAGTTGTCATGTGCTGTCGGCTACCGAAGTTGGGTGCATAAACGAATCGAGTGTCTCACTGGCATCACTGGCACGGATTTGTGCAGTTCATAGCTTCATGATGCCTCCATGCATGCTATATCACTCCACCACCCTGTGACATCCCTGTGACACACTGTGGCATGCACAGGAGGCAAATGCGGAAGATTGCCAACAGCGCTGTCGATGTTTGGAGGGCTGCGACTTTTTCACCTTCTGGACGGATGGGCAGTGTCACGTGCAGACCAAAGATTCGATGCCATTCAGTGACACAGCTGCAACCAAGACCCAAATCGATCCAGTCGACTTTCTCTGAGTTCCGATGCGGGGCCACCTGAGGCGCTCCCCTGGCAGTCTCTGGTCCTCCCTCCTGCGAACACGATGCCAGGGAGGACTTGCCGCCTTCCATAGATTTGCCGCAAGTGAAGCCACAGCCCGACGGATTTGCACCCTTGGCCGCAACAAGATTTTGAACACCCGAGAGACCTCCAATGACCTCCAATGACCTCCAATGACCTCCACCTTGTGCCTCTGACTTGTCTGGGATTTCCGACCCAGGTCGGTCCAAAAGTCTATGTCTATCAGCTACCGGGCCGCTTTCGGAACTGGGGGCAGGAAACTATCCGCAGAGCCAGATTCAAACAGGTTTTCAGGTCAGTCAAATTGTGATGCTTCTTCTCATCTAGTGATATGCAGGAAACAAGTTGTGGCTGGGAGCCAGATTGCATCTTTGGCGGGCCTCCAGTTCGGGTACATGGTGTAGACATTTGGGCATCAAGCCAGTTGCTTTGCTGCAGATCTCATCAATGCATGCCTGCATTCAAGAGATTTCAAGATGCTTTCTTTTTTGCTGAATGTTGTGTGGCCTTTTTGGTGCTCCTCCTTTTAATAGACTTATACTTATAGTATCTTATAGTTTTTATTGTGACTCATATGACTCATATGATAATACATCTCCTAGGTTTCACATGCCCCTCATGCTGTACTACCGCTTCCTGCACTATCCTTGGCTGACGCGCAACGTCGATGATGCAGATGTGTTCATCATCCCGGCCTACAATTTAAGACCATCCCCAGAATTGCCCTGTGCAAATAACAGTGACCTGTTCGAAACACTCTACCAGTTGAATCCCAAACTGAAGGACCGAAGCAAAGACATCCAAAGGCCCAATGGAATGACTGGACCAAACTGTATTGAGGCACTGAAGCCAAAACCTGACAGGACGATGCGTGGGCAGCATCCAAAGCGCCGAGACACTTGCTGATGGATGCACGAGGATGGGAGACCTGCAGGTACATGTGGGAGCTGAGCATGCCTTTCCGCCTAGCCCACCGCATCAACATAGAGCTCAATGGTCTCATGGAGGAGACTGGAACGGGAGAACGCTTGCACAATTGATTTTTCTGAACATATAACATCATAGAACATATCTTAATTATATCTTAATCATATCTTCATGTCTTGCCTAGTCATGCTGAGTCATTCTGAGTCATGCTGAGTGTTTGGCTGAGGATGGGCCGGAAGGGTGGACATACAACAAGCCGTTCGTTTGGTATCAGTTTCCTTACCCTGCTGTGTATCACGGCCCAGCCTTGTCGACGCCTGCCAAGCTTCGCCTTGCACGCCTTGCTGCGTCGAGTCCGTCGAGTCCTTCGAGCCCTTGGAGCCGATACTTGTGGTCCTTCAGCGGGACAGGCCGTGGCCTGGCCGGACATCTGCGCTCTCTCCTCATCAAGGAGTGTACCAAATGCAACAGGACCGGGGACAACAGGATGGACAACAGGATGGACAACAGGATGGACAACAGGATGGACCTATTGCTGCCATGAACTTTCCAAATGATTGTGTCACATGATGTGATATGACAGTGATATGTATATACGCAAGTAGTTATGATATTCAATTGTAGATAGACGTCTTGAGGTACTAATTAAGCCATCAAATTCTGGAGAGAATGTGTTGAGGCACATTTTGGTTTGAATTCTTGGTTTTCTATGGGTTGCTTTGTTTTTCTCACCTCCGTATGTGCAATATTATTTTGATCAGTTTTGATCTGGTTTGCCGGTGCAGGTGTGGCAAAGTCACCCAGGTCAGTGAGGTGACCGGGTCGGTACAACAGCAGAAAGACCGGGTCGCTGAATACGCGCGTCTTTCGGCGATCAAACTTCAGTCTGTCTTCTGTGCAGAGCCGCCTGGTGACAGCGTGACTAGGAAGAGCCTGATAGACTCCATAGTTCTGGGCTGCATTCCTGTGATTTTCGTCCATCAAGAGCTTGACATGTTTGAAGCCTTTGCAACAGCGGAGGAGTTTGCGGAAGCTGTAGTTTTTGTGCCGGAGGCGGAGCTCATGGGACCTGAAGGTGCAATCTCTCTTTGGGGCAAAGGAACCTTCCACGAACATTCGGCTCAATGGAGAAAGTTGAAAAGACTTTATCCACAAAGAGCTGAAGTGTTTGAGGCTCTGCGCCCTCAGCAATCGGCGGAGACACGAGAGAAGCGACTCCGCGCGCTCTTCCCAAAGCCCAAATCCATTACGAGTGTTTTGGCTTCGATATCTGAAGAGGAAATCCAAGCAAAACAACGAGCTCTCGCTAAGATCTCTCATCGTTTTGTGATTGGACTGGATGACTCCAGTGAGGATGCCCTGCGCATTTTGCTCAATCGCATTGTCTCCAATGACAAACTTGTGGCAAAACGGAACCGGCAAAGCACTCTGTCCTAAGCCCGAGCCATCCCATCATCCCCAACTTGGCCATGTCAAAACTCACATCCCATCCGACTTCTGACAACCTTCATCGCTTTCCAGAAGCAGAGGCCCATCCACCATGTGGTATCAGCACCTGTTATCAGGATGCATCAGGATGTATCAGGATGTATCAAACCAGAGGTCAACTCATCAAATTGGCTAGGAGCAAGGACAGTGTCATGGCCCTGAGGAAGGCGTGGATGCCCGCGACACTGATGTGGCAGCCCAGCTGTGCTGATTTTTCATGGGCCAGTGAGATCCGCACGGAAGAAAGAAAAGTGATCTTGCAAGGATTGGGCAAAAATTGGATTCGCACAAGAACAAATCCAGGACAAAGAATTTCCTTTGAACTTGTTAAACTGCACATATTGTATCATGTTGTCACATGTCCCGCATGCTCTAGTTTTCGGCTCATGAAGTATGCAACTCCAGGTTCATGTACAGACGGCAAGAAACACAGGCAGACCGGCCAAAGAGCTTGGCCAGTTGAAAACCAAGATGTGCACACAGTGGTCTTACAAAGAACCTGAGTAATATCCGAGCCGTTGCCAAAGTCATCATTTTGCGTTGTGATACATCGTGTGACAGCTCAGTACGGATGATCGACACAGGTGACCCGGTGACACACCTACTGTATAGTATAGAGATGTATAGACTGTATAGAGGGTTTACTTCTTGGGAATCTTGGGGACATTTGGGGACCATCCTACATCATCCTACTGCGATTTGTGCAGCCTTTTCCAATGAACGTCGGCGACCACGAAGTTCGATCAGATGCGCTGAAGGAGCTGGAGGTTTCGATGACAGGCAAGGATGAGTCAAAGCCAAGAGAAGACCAAGAAAAAGACTGAAAAAGGAATGTGATTTTAATGATTTCTATTGCTCTTTATGTTTATTTTCTTTATGCTCGGTTGAGTTGTTTGTATGTAGGCGCCATTTCCAAGTAGTGCCAAGGCATCGGCTTCGTGATTGCCGTGTTTTCAACTGTACTCGCAATATAATTAATGAATATTATTAATGATATATAATGTATATGGCAAAGCATCATGAAACGTAATGAAACATTTAATTCCGTCTCCTGTGTTCAAGCCTTTTGTTCTACCTTGTGTTATACGCGTGCAGGAAACTTCGGGAAAAAATCCGAACTGTACAAGGTTCAGCGGGAAAGCAATGACAAGAATCTTGGCATCCTTCGTGCTGCGGTCTCAAGATCGTACACAGTGGACTCTTTGGCCGCATGGCAAGTGTCGCGTGAGTCATTGAAATTGGATGCAAGATAATGCAAGCGGACGAACTTTGACGAATTTTGCATTGGATGATGCAAGATCAAGTGGATCAACTTTGATTAATTTCGTTTATTTTTTACATTTCTTGGAGTGTTGCCTCGTCAGGAATGGCGACCTTTGCACCAGTCCGACACGGCGGTGGCGAGCATCCGGGATCTAGAGGCAGCACGGCGTGGCTCCACCACACCGTGGAAATCAATGCGGTGCCCAACCAGCCCCCTGTGCGACTGGGTGATTTCAACATATTTTTGAATGTAATTTTCAACCATTTTTGAATATGATTCAACATGATTTTGAATATTTTTCAATGATTTTGAATGGCTGAGAGATTCTTACATTTTTGGCACTAAAAAACAAGGGAATGGGCGGCTAGTGGCTAGTGGTGGCTCGTGGTGTTTTGTGTCTAGACTTTGATCTGGCATTGTGTTTGTTCAAATGTCGAGAATGAATGTATTCATGTTTTAACCGCTGGTAATGCTGTTTCACCACAAGTCAGCCAATTGAACTATTTTTTGCATTACAGTAAATATATATATGATCTTTCTATCTTTCTACCTTTCTATCTATCTAATTCTATTCTATTCTATTCTATCCTATGCTTTGCTATGCTATGCTATTCTATTCTGTTCTATCCTATCCTATCCTATCTATCTATACCTGTGGTTCCGTGTCTGCTCTTGTTGTTTCGAGGTCTGCGCTGCCAATGGCCAGAACGTCGTTCTTGGTTTTTGTGCTCTCTGACTTGAAAATGGCTTGAGTTCCGAATGTGCAATTGCATCGAGCTACATCACGCCAAATCAAGCAACAAGCCAGTTCCCTAAGCTTACTTTTTTATTATGTCAGTACTTGGCCGCTGCACCTTCCATGAGGTCTGCTGAAGAAGTTGAAGATGCCCACCAGAGTCGTCAAACTGGCTTCTGGGCAAATATCCAATGGTTTTCGATGATTTGACACATCCGATGATTTGGTTCACTTGCTCCCTGTAAGACTTGATGGGCCCGAGGTTTTGGGCTTTGCGCGACCTCACCGAGTAGCACGAGCTGTGGACTTGCCACCATGCACTGAACTCCGTGTGCGTTGGAGGGACCCGTTGGAACAGGACCTGCAAGATCTACAAGGTGACGGATCTTGCGACACAAATGCCGATAACAAGATTCCAATAACAATTGTATATACATATATATATAATTATATATATAATATTAATAACATGACATGCTGACACCGATGGAAAGTGTTTGGCTTCAGGAGATTACACCCGAGGAGCAGGAACAAGAAAGCAGCCATGGACGGGCAGGACGCCCGTGTGAACACTCTCAGGGACGTGGCAGATGGCACATGACGACAGCACGTCCCTTGCAGGAACGGCCATCTGCGAGTATTACGACCCAGCAAGCTTGGCCATGGCAACCCAGCAGCACATTTAGAAAATTTGGGTCGAGGTTGACGCATGTCGACACTGGCAAAGGCACGGACTTTCACAATGCCCTAGTGACCTTAGTGATCCTTAATGATCCTTAGTGATCCTTAGTGCATCTCTTAGTGCTTAGGAACTCCATGCCATGACGATGTACCCCATTGACCACTTCAAAATGCTACGTGGCGGGCTGCTTCACTTGGTTGGGGAGTACCAGCTGTTTTGGAGTGTCTTGGAGAAAGCCGATCTCGAGAAAGGAGAAAGTCATAGCCCATCATAAGATATCAATGGATATCATAATATATACATTAAAATAATTAATATACGATTACCATCGGCTACCACAAGCCAGAAACAGTGACTGCAGCAAATGACTTGTGAGATCTTGTGAGCATAAATGAGCTGAGCTTGCGAGGGCCCTTTCCAATCCTTTCCATAGATTCCTGCTTTGCCTAGGTGCAGTTCTGAATTTCGCAGACTTCCGCAGCTGTGCCCCACTAGAGGGGCTCTACAAGTGCCATGGATTGGCACGGATTGTCTTGAACATTCATGAACATGCAGCAACAGAGTATATTCAGAGCCTCGCCCAAGTTGTCAGCCTACAAGTATGAAAAGGTGAGCAGCTGAGGTGGGGCGAAACTGTTCCACGGCTGGAGTACCGAAGGATGTGCCAATGCTTGCAGTTTGGCTTGCCTAAAATGCAGTCACGCTCCAGATTTGCACTGCTGATGTGCAGGCTTGATGCGGCTTCACCGTTTCATTAATCTTGATATATCTTGATTGTTCAACATTCTGCATGATTTCAAAACATTTCCAATCGATTCCTTTGATATTTTCCTGAAGTGTTGGACTGTGACATTTGCTTCCCATGTGTATTGACCAAATTCCTTCACTGCAGGGAGCTATGTGCCGAGCAGAACGACTTGCACACGCTTCCATGCTGTGCCTATGCAGATCTCGAGGATCAAACTGTCACGGATGAGCCAATGCCGCGTTGGTGGAAAGATGCAGTTCACGAGTGGGACCGTGTGTTCACTCGCATGTGTCCTGGCTCGGGAAAGTGCTTCGTGTGTCAAGCGCAGCATGGTCTAGCCATGGCAGAACATACCGAAGTAAGCTATTGAAGTGATTGGGAATCACACTGAAATGGGACATGGCCATGAAACCTCAAGGTTTGAATGCAATGGAGAGCCGAAAGCGCAGCTTGGCCATGACAGTCCGCAAGTTTGCAGCATACCACACGCGCCCCATTCCGACACTGCAGGTGAGGCATCAAAGTTGCGATGTAGTCACTGTCACTGCTACGTCATGCGGGCTGTTGTTGCCTTGATCCTTCTTGTCGAGGATTGGTTGCTACTACTACTGCTTTGGAGGTTTTCAGCCTGATTGACACGTCAAAGACAGGAATATGAGTCTCTGGTGCTACACGTGTATTTTGCTGCCGCGACTTTGAGCATGCTGATGATGCTAATGCCATCAAACATAAGGAAGAGGCTTCGTGATTACTGCAGAGCTTGACCATTGAGCCCCCAGGAGTAGACATGTTTCAGCAATTCCATAGGCTTCTGTCAGATCTGTCAACCTTTGCAAGGTTGTGCTGCACCCCCAGATGGGCCAGAGCAGTGCCCATATTGGCATGACTCACTGTGGGGTGCGCATGCGTATGCCTGCATATCTTGTGCCTTGGAAGCGATCGGAGCCATGGCCCTTGAATTTCACAGCCTGTTTGATCGATTTTGATCCATCATTTTGAGCCAAGGCCCTCGAATATGCCCCCTGGATGCACAGATAAAATTTTCCATGTTCCAGAAGGTCAGAAGTCAGGAAAAATAGGAAAAGCATGGAAAAGCATGGAACACTGCGAAAACAGCATATTTCAAGATTTTGCTGAGGTGGCTTTTGTGGAGACTTTGCTGACGAGCTCCGCTGTGGAGCCTGCAAGATGCGTTTTTATTGTTCAGACGTTTGCCAACGAGAAGAGTGGAAATACCACAAGGCGGAATGTCGAAGAGTTAGATGACAGATGCTTGGCAGCGGCCATTTGTACAAGTTTGGTCTGACATAATTTGCCATAACAGATGTTAGCAGAGAACGGTCTTTATATCTCGCAATTCATGCGTACCTTTGTGCATGAAAGCAAGAGCCAACGGCCAAGTGCAGCTGATCCTGAGTCTGAGGAGCTGCGCAGCATTGCTTTGCACTGCACCACCGCGCATGCTACAGCAGAAAAGATGCAGTAGCTCATAGTAACTTTGGGGATTGGACAGTCACCTGACACAAATTTACACTGAATCACGAGTCAATACGAGTCACCTCAGGTTGAAGACACGGAAGACACGGATACGATTTCGGATGTCCGAAATCAGCGGAAACGATGTGAAGCCGAGCCATCTCGACGTCACTGACACCTTAGCTGTTTGGGCTCGAATCAGCCATCATGTCGGTTTCGACAGCTACACTCCAAGGCCAGGGACACTGGTGGAAACTGGTAGAGCCTGGTGGAAACTAACAAATTTCGAATTTCCCCCAATTCCATGCAATCTCACCAGGTGAGGCTTACGAGGACTTCTTGACACAACAGCTTGAGACGTCCCAGAGCTGCAAAAAGTTGTCAAGAGTCGTGGCCAAGATTGCCGAGACAATTGGACGTATAGCAAAATTTGCAAAATCTTTCACAGAGAAAAGCCGCAAAATGACGGGCACCAAATTGCTGAGGCTCAAGTCTACGCTCCTTGCCTATCACCTATCAGTGCCTGGGGACTATGCGAAGGATGAGGCTGGCAAAGAAAATCATTTTCAATCTCCTGGTTGTGTAAAGTGTGAGCCTTGCATACGAGGTAAGGTTCTGACAATTCAATAGACAGCTTCCATCAAATATATGGCTTCGAAAGGGTCCAGGATTTCCTCACTACGAGGTTCCAGCTATTGAACGAAAGGTTCCAATACGACCCTTCGGCCTAGCAAACCAAAAGTCCTTCGTGTTTGAACAACTGTTTCGGATTGAGCAGGTATGTGTGACATTGCAAATCATTGCAATATAGTGCAATAATGTAGGCAAACTACAGGCGCTTTTAGCAAGACTGACAGGGAGGAAGTGGGAGGGCGGAACAATAACGCGGTTGAATGTAAACCAGCGATCATGGCTATCAATTGTGGTTGGCTTGAAGCATGTGGACGACCAAACGGAAGAGTAGCATGAGGATGAAGGATGAGGAGTAGGTCGATCACGATCATTGTCGTAATTGTCATACTGTTAGTTTATAACCACTGATGACGATGCGTGATGATCAATCTACGAATATGGTGGTCTGCTGAGAGGGATGAGAAGGAGAAGGAGGAGGAGGAGGATGAGGAGGAGGAGGAGGTTCGCACTCGATGAAGCATTTCACAATCTAAACTGCCGAGGCAGTCGAGGATCGTGGGCATTTCACGGAAAGAAAACTTAATTAAAACATATCAAACTCTTAGGTATAGGGTCGTTACCTTACGTGGAACCACTCCTGAACCATACATCAACAGAAACAGAGCGCTTGCATTGTCATACACTTGACTTGCGATGGTTCGCACTGCATGAATTTAAGTTCTAGCGCTGCGAAGAACAAAACTCCCGTTCCAACGGGCCTTGTACAGTTCTCTGCAAGGCCCAAGGAATGCTTGTTTTTGCAAACTCTTCGCTCAAGGCCGCGTGTGCTAGCCGTGAAAGCCATACCTCAGTGGATGCTCTGCCTCTCAGCCGCTTGGCTCAGATTCAGCAACGGCTCAAGGGAGGACGTGTAGGGGATGTAGGCGCATAGGCTTTGCAGTGAGCGATCTGGATACAGATTCTGCCAGAAGGGCGCCCCAAACTAAAGTTCAACAGTGACCACATTTTCACCAGCACATCGAGCCTTGAGCGAATTTTTGTTACTTGTAGAATGGGATGTCCAGGAGCCAAACGGAGACTTGGTTGGTGCGCTGGGGTGGGTTGACTGCACCGACTGCATGCTGCAGGCATAGCAGAGGACGATGAGCTTTTGAAGCGATCCCCGCGGGGGCTGATGGAGTTGCCACTCAGCTCAATCATGAACGAAATTCGGAACCAAATCACGCCCTCCCTTAGAGTGTGAAGAGGAACATTGCCGGCTGTCAGACTGGTCGATGTGTGTGTTTTAATTGTGCGCAAGGGGTTGCCCGACAATGTGGTTCCAGCCGCGTTACCATTTCATTCAAAGTCATTGTACGTGCACAGTGATGCGTGTCTGTTTTCAATGTTGAAATTTATTTTTGCTTCAGGTTGGATGCGCATCCAGTCGAGCTTCTGGAAGAGGCGTTGCTCTGATGCAGGACTAATCCTTTCATCCTTGCATGACGCCCGAAAAGCAAATGTTTGTTAAGTCGAACCCGTGGAATATTCCAACCGAGGTTGCCAATCAAAGTCCTGGACCGGTGGGAGGATTTTTATTTGGGACTGCGTGCGCAATCTCCGCGTAAACCTGTGAGAGAAGCCCTACAGTGGCTTGGCTCCATCATGCTCCATCAATGAGGCATGCAATGAGGAGTTCACCGACCTTAAATGACTCAAAAGGCATCAAGATTGGTTTGTGATGGTTTGTGTGTATGGTCTGACTTCGGTTC